ATGATCAATTGATCAAGGGCATTTGATTAGCAGCACCTGGCTGCCTCTTAGCCACTTCATACCTATGAAAGCAGTAAGGGTATACTTAGTTTTTCACACATGGCTTCTCATGTGTGAAATTAGAGGGAGGAGGAAGATGGTGAAGGTTAGCTGGGATGGCAGGGCCTGTGGAGCGCAGGGCGACTGGGGCTTTGTGCTGGGGTGGCTAGCCCCAGCACAGGGCTTAAGGTGGCACTCAGTGGCGATCGTGGGGTTGGGGCTGAAGCAGAGGCTCAGCAGGAGTGGCCAGCTGAGATTACTGAATCCCCAGGCCTCTAGGTCAGCCCCAGAGCTGCTGGTACTGCTGCTGCCACCATGGACTGCTGCTGTGCAGGGTGGCCAAAAGGGCAGAGATGGGAAGGAGATAGGCGCCGGGGAGTTCAAGAGGAGGCAGTCCCTTACCTTACCAAGGCTTGGAGCTGGGAGGAACCAAGCCAGGAATGGCTTGGGGGGGGCGGGGGGCTTGCCTAATGACTGCGTGGGATTCAGTTAATGATGGCAACAGGGACTGCTGGGATTTCCATCCCTAAGCAATGTGGTCACATGACATTGCACTTTACAACCGCATCACTTAGCGACAGAAATTCTGGACCCAATTACCATCGTAACCCGAGGACTACCTGTAGTACCATAATCATTGTCTTGTTCCATAATGTTGTACTATAATCATTATCCTGATCACTAAAAAATATGAACTCCTACGTTGCCAAAAACTAAAACATTGGTAGTAAGGGTGTTTGTTTAGTTGAGTAGTATCCCATTTTCCAAATGTTTATTTTATGATCCATGATTAGACAAAACTTGAGAAAGATTTCATGAAATTCTGTCAAACAAAGAAATATCTCAAAATCTGCTCTTCTTAAAAAACAGTTGCTGTAGCAGTAAGTGCAGTTGTCAAAACAATAGGTCCAAACATTGCTGAAGGACTGAATACTGGAAGAAATGATCACAGCCCCACACCATTCTTTCATTTGATTTATATCTCAATGTAGGACAAAAGGAAAGCCGATCACATTGAACTCCAACTATAGCAACTGTTCAGCATAAAGAAAATAAGGCATTCTACATTATCCCTCTGAAAGGTGAAAAAAGGGTAAAGTATTTCCATGAAACTTTAATCTGATTTGCATTTCAATAAAATAAGTGAGTAAGAGCTTTCCCAGAATTTTCCAGAGTTTCATGTTGCAGGCAGAGGAGCTTCAATATTTACTCAGATACAATCATGCCTTTCTTATGTAAACACATTTTTTGAAGTACCAAGAAAGTCACTTGTTCTACAACTATGTTCATAAAACTAAAATTAAGATCAACAGCAACAAAGCACTTTAAAAAAGAATCCACTGATATAATGCAGACAAAGAGAAATTCAGACAAAGATATACCTTTGTTCTCTGAAAAACAGCTTTAGGGTCCAGAGTCTTAGTCTTCCCAGGATTGTTTTTATTCGTTTTAATCCAACAGATATCTTCACATCTTCTGTATCCCCATTTGCGCAAACACTACCACATTTCAACAAAACAGAATTTTTGTACAATACAACAAAGCACAAGAACAATGAGTTGGAGCCAAATTTAGACATAGACAACAAGGTTGCTGGAAATAGATTCCTTCTCTACATTTTCCCTTCAGTAATCTTTCCTGAAGAGAGAGTTGGGTGATCCTGTTGAATGAGGTAGTGCATCACTAATTTACCTCTCAGCATAATTTGAGACCTCCCTTTTCCTGAACTACAGCCTATCCCATTCAGTAGGAACTGTAATCCTCTCTTACAGGAGGACTGAAATACAAGTATAGGGAGGATGGGGATCCATTACTGCTAACCGAGTAGGTTTAACTCTGGATATAACCCAATATATTGGTTCTAAAAATATTTTTTAGAAAAAAACTTAATTTCTTATGCAGTTTTCCTAGAGACAGATTGCTAAAATTTAAGCAATTAATATATTTTCAAGCAATGCCTCCATTAAGATATGTATCTATATGAATCCCCTTCAAAATCTCTTTAAATATGTTGTACATCACCTCATATGAGTGATTTATACATTACCCATAACATTAAACATACTAATGGCACAATCATATGTATATCTGCTTTGAAGCGCTGCTACATTTAATCAAAAATAGGATTAGTCTTTCAAGACTTCCTATAGTTGCTGTTTTAGTCAGAGACTCTTTATAGACGTTCTTATATATGCTGGCCTTATCTGAAAGCTTCACTGAACAAGTTGTAATTATTGGTCTGAATGGCATAGAACTACATCATCTTACCACCCTGCCGAGATCCAGGCCCTCACCAGAACCACACCAAAGAAAGACAAATGATCGTGGGGCAGCAATTTCTTCAATGTCCAGCTTCATAATCTGCAAAAAGTGGAAAATGTGTAATGTTTTAAGAGCCAGTTTGGCCTAGTGGTTAAGGCACCAGGCTAGAAAGCAGGAGACGTTAAGTTCTAGTCCCGCCTTAGGCAGGAAAGCCAGCTGGGTGACTTTGGGCCAGTCTCTCCCTCTCAGCCCAGCCCAACTCACAGGGCTGTTTGTGTGGGGAAAATAGGAGGAGTATTAGATATGTTCGCCATCTGGAGTTATTTATAAAAATAATAAAGGGGGGATAAAAAAAAATCTAAAAAAAATGTAATCTGCACAACTGACTTACAGACAAATATCACATGTTAATTTTGATAAAGTAGTTTACTAAAGACAGTTTCCAAATCCATAAAACAAGGTAAAGGTGAGGGAAAAAATCCTTTCTATTTTTTTACAGGAAAACATGAAATGGTACTGGATGTAATTCAATAAGCAGAGTCAAATAGGTTATAGCCTAGGAACCAAATATATTCTGGTATAATTTTTATTAGCTTCAAATAAGATTTAGCTTAACTAACTTAACTATCAAAATGCATATTTCTGAGAAAACATTTCAGCTAAGAGTTCACTTTACATTATTTTTTCATTCATTATTATTGTTAAAAATATGATTTAACAAACAGTCTTTCTTACATCATTTTTTTCTACATCTTTAGAACTGAAGTATCAGAACAGAGGAAGTAAAATAAAACCACATATTCACTTTTGATATTAGAAATGCATAAATAACATTAGCTTATAGAGGCATAGACATAGAAATAATTTCTTTATAACTTATTTCTATATCACTTTCATAATTGTTAAAGATTAATGGTTTCAACAAATTAAATTCAGAGATTTAATATTAGAAACTCATGAACCATGCCTAAAAAGTTGCTTTTATTATGAGGTTCAACCACTACTTCAAATACAGAATTTTAATTGCTTCTTTCCTATTATCTTAATTGTTCTTCATACAGTACAGACAGTGATCATTTATCTGGCACATGCTATCCAGCAAACTCTGATAAAAGATGAAAAAAGCGTACTTATGACTACCACCAAAGATTCAAAGTTTGATTATTTAGTTATTTACTTATTTTGTTCTAAGAGAAGTAAGTGAAGAATTCTTATGGCTCACATTATTTTTATACAACAGTTCTGACTAACTAACTTCATTGCATCATCATCATATGTTGTATAAACTGTTTCTAAATCTACCAATTAGAAACAGATGATGGTAGACCTACTGCAGCTGCAATGTTAAGGTTAGCTAAATGCTAACATGACAGAATTAATGCTAATGCATGGTTTTAAAAAAATGAAGGTATTGCTCCTCTTTCATATTTTAAACAGGTGATGAAAGAACATTCACAGGAATTCTGAAAAACAGCTGGACAAAGAAGCCAACTCATGCAAAACAAAAACAATACAGGTCAGTCTTAATGTCTTCTTCAGGAAACTCACATCATCCCATGTCCAGCATTTCTCATTAGCAGTAATGCCTGTCTCCCTATAGTATTCTTCTAATGGTGGTTCTAAAAGTATCACATCAAACTTAGACTTGAGTTCACGAAGATCAAAAGCTTCCAGTTCAGCTTGTAAATACCTATCCATACAAAGGAAAAACACATTGGTATGTTCTGATTATTATAGTTTTCTAGGTTGACAATTTCATAGTGTCTATTCTCCAACTGTGATTTTTAAAAAAAGTTGTGTAACTTTCTTAGATTGGGATACGTTATTTACATATGCTACACACTTTGAAAGCATAGCACAAAAACATAGTATTCCTGCTTTGAGAAAGCATTTCACATTTGTAGAATAATTTGTAAACAAAATGCTGATCACTGCTTAGCTTAGTACACACAAACTAAATTCTGAAAGCTGATCTGCTGCCATTACCTTATTAAAATTTACAAATACTGCTGTGAAATTACCTTCCTAATTAGAACATAAATTAATCTGGGAGAAGCAACTTTTGAAATAAGCACAACTTAAGTTAAATTTAAAAACCCACTTTCCACCTTTTTTCCAAAATTAATTTAAATGAGCTGTATCCAACAATGTCTATTAACTGCTGAAATATCATCCATCAGCTGAACAGATTCTTCCTTCTTCACTCCTGCCCCGTCACCTTCAAAATACTTTCTGAAGGGGTGAGGAACTTTCAAAACAAAATGATAACCAAGTGTGGGGGGATGCACAAGGAAGAAGAATTCCAGCTATGGAAATGCAAGTCTTGCTGTATAATGTTGGAGGCAGGTCAATGGTTTCTAAAGCCCCTTTCATCCAGAAAGCTGTTTAGACTATTGTATGGTAGGCAACCTGTGCTGTAACTGATATTGCTAAACTAGATCATCCCTATCCATTAGTCATGCTCCCTAAGAATGAGGGGAATTATCCCAGGTGCCACAGGCTATCTATTCCTGATTTATTAACAAGGAACCCCTTCCACCAGGAAAATTATTCTTATTACAGCCCACTAGTGTAGTAAATGTGTCTTATTTACACATTTCAAACCAAGGCTCATTGACTGTAGATATTTGCAAAAAGGAAATCTGTGAAAGTGTGGAAGAGCAAAAATTCACTGAGAAAGCACACCAAAGGAAATGGATCAATTATTTTGAAGCTTATATACACAACCCAAGAATAAAGCATTCCCATTGTCAACAGGTGCTGACAGAAAGAATCTTAATTAGCAATCAGCTAAAGATAAGCCTGTCTAGACAAAAGAATCCAGCTTATTAAAAGTACTTACATTGGAGGCGTGTTAGATTTAGATATTAGCTCATCTTTCAGCCTGATGAGTTCCCGGAGTTTTGGATATTCTTCAAATCTATCTGCTAAACCTAACAGGAAAACATATAAATGTTATGCTACAGAAAATAACTTTCAAATACATGTGTCACAAAATAGGCATCTAACATATTTGATTTAGACCACAGCTCTGATTGTTTCTTTTCATTATGATTTCAGCTCAGCACAATTTAGCCAAACACATAATAAAAGTGTATTGTTTTCCAGAGTGGTAGCCATTTCAGTGCACATTTTCTAAAGATATATACATACATACATATATTAATTTGAACAATGTGCTTATATTACTATGAAACACTATGCATAAACAATGTTATATAACACAAAATTCCTCATATTAGTTTTCAGAATTTTTCTAGGCCTGAATGCAAGTTAATGTCTGTGTCTGGATTTTTAAGGCGTAATAAGAGCTGTTACTTATTTGAAACTATTTCTGGCATGACTGGTATTATTTTGGCCGTGTACAACTGAAACAACTGTTAGTACCTCTAACTTGCATGTTCAAAATGCTTAGCTGTGAATGTTTACTGTCTTTTCATTTTATATATATATAATTTTTATTAAGAATTTTTATTATATTATTATCTAACATCATTAGAGTCTGGGAAGATTGATGCCAGGCCTAGCCCAAGGAACTCCAAGAGACAATGCAAATTCAGTTCAGCTTTGTTTATTAGC